TTTTAACTTTTATAAAATCCTTTAACATTTCTCGTTATTATTTTATATATGTATAAAAAATGTGTTTTTAAGTCCTTATCTACATAGTATATTACTTCCTACTTGGCAAATAAAGATCTTTACGTAATGTGCTAATGGTAGAGGGCAACATAACTTGATTTGCATCACCTTTACGCTTGGAAATATCACGTATAACGGTAGTTAAAATATCCATCATATGTTTGCTATATTTAAAAAGAAAAAAAAAACAATGTTTAATAAAAAAAATTCTTGGAAAAAACTATAAAAAATATGTACTTACCAATCACCATATTTTTGTGTAAATTTACATAAAGCATCCACAAACCAACTGCCATGTTCAGTATGCCGCAAAGCATCGGTACCCGGCATGGACGACATAGCCAGTAATATATCAGCATAGGCATCGGGAGAGAAATTTCTTATAGACGAAGAACTTTTCTAAAAATAAACAAAACAAAGTTTAATTTTTTGCATTTTGCTAAAGAAAACACTTTAGTACAGTATCCACCGTAGAAAGATTCCTTTGACAAGCTTGTATTATCAAGATTTTGGGTTTTCCTTTTAAAGTGTCATCCGTTAAAATTTCCTTAATTTCCGTTATAGCTATCGGCACACTGTTTGAACCAAATACAACACCTTGAAAATCCAAAAAAAATTGCTTTAAAAAATGATTTCCTAATCAAAAAGTTCTATTCTATTCCCTTACCTTCCATGCCATGTGATAGTATGCAAATAATTATGGAATCTTTTAGTAGACTTCTCTTAACATTTTCTCGTATTTGATGTAATATTTCTAAATGTGTAAGATTTTCATATAACAATGGTATATAACCGAATGAGGAAAAAAGTTCCTTTAGTTTATCACGATCCACGTTAGTGCCTTTACGTGCAGGTATGGTATCATGCATAAATGATACGAGATGCTTTTTAAAACAGAAAAAATTAGATAAACTGTAAGAGTAGACTATAGTCTGGACTATAGAGTAGACTGTAGAACAGAAACAAAAAAAAAAACGTTAATATTTACCCGATATTTTGGATCAGTTTCCTTATAAAAACTACTTTGATTTATAATCAAAACATAACCAGCATTTTTTCTTGTTATTGAATAACGTTCCGTACTATCAAAGTCTGACTGTTGCGCTAAAGGCGGCTGAACAACTGTTTCTTTATTATCAACAGTAGGCAGTGTTTTACTACTATCAACCATATGCTGTGACATATAAACACCAGAATCTTGGCTATTGTTATTATTCACTAAAGCCACATTATCAGTTTCTGGATTTTTCAAATTTTGATTTATGGTCTCTATTAGCAAATCCTTAATACCAGCCATATCATTAAATTTAAAATACTCTATCAGCAACTGTATATTACTGCCCTTAAGCTGGCGATCGCCCAACGTTATAATACGTTTATTCAGCCAGTTTAGCAGAAAGACCTCTAAATAGCAACAATCATAGAAACGCAAATCTTGAATATCAGTTTGATATTTTTTATTAATGTGCTGTATAAGCTGATTGGCCTGATCCGGTGTTAAGCGTTCGGCTAGAACATACAACGCCTTAAGTAGGGGGTGTATGTGTACACTGATTTCCGCCACATGAGGTAAAAATTGATGATATATTTCTAGCCAGCATAAACCCAACCGGCGCAACACTCTTTTAGCTTTGATAATGGCTAAAGCTTCAACAATATGTAATCTCCAATTCTGAGGATTCAATTTGGCATAATTTCTTAATACATCACTGGTGGCCAGTGATGTTACTCCCGCAGTAAGGCCTTTGCCAGAGGAAGGATGTTGTGCTAAAATTATTAATCTTTGTAAGATAAATTGACTACGTGTGCGGTCATCACCATATAAAGGAATCCCAAAGATACCTAGAATAGGAAGTATTAGTCATTTAATTATGATCAGTTATTTTTAAGGGAACAACACTTACCAGTTGATAAAAACATAAATCTGTTTCCACATATTGTAAGTCCTCGATATCGATATTTTTTAAAGAATCCTGCAAAGATTTTGCTGCCGAACCCATTTAGCTTTTATCTTAAAAATTCCCGTTTATGTTCTTTTCATGCAAATAAAAAATAAACAAAAAACAAAACAATAATAAATTAGTCAGATGCTGATATCAAGTTTCAACGCCGTTAGTAAAAAAAAAAATAACGGCGTTAAAAAATTTTACTTAATTAAAAGTTAATTCTTTTTATAGAAATTTTAATAAATTCATGAAATTTGTTATTTAATCCGTTTAATTTTAATAATTTAAGCAACTTTTCTTAAATTTTAACTCGAAAACATAGATTTCAATATCAGACGACTTGGTAAAACATTTCAACGCCGTCCGTTTTAGTTATTCTTCGTCCTAGAAGTACGAAAATAGTGTTGTTGGTTATTTAAAAAAAAAACGCTAGAAATTATTTTTTAATTATTGTCATCACTTCTCTGTGATTGTCTGTGGTAAACAAATATTTTTTCTATGAGATTTCAATAAAATCTTAAAAAAAGATATTAATTTAGTGTAAAAATATTAGTGAAAATTTCTTAAATTATGTTAATAACAAATCCTGATTTAATAAACAGTTGTCGGGTGTGCCGTAGCCCCAATCAGGATGGTGATTATGAATGTTTATATCAAAATAGTGGACAACACGAGGATGGTCTCCAGTTAAGTGAGGCTGGTCTGCTATATGAAAATCTATTGGATGTAAGTCTTTGTGAAGGGATACAAAAACATATAAAAATATAGTTTTATTCAATTTTAATATGTTATTTAGATTTCCCTTACTAAGGGCGATGCTTATCCGCAATTTTTGTGCAATAGTTGTGATTTACAAATGAAACTTTTCAAAAAACTCAAAGACAAAGCCTACAAGACGTTGGAATACTTACAAAATCTATATGAAGAACAGTTAAACTCGAATAAACTTAAAACTGAACAGAAAGATGAAGAAATGCCTCAAGACAATGGCCAGGAGCCGGTGGAATCTGCAGAGGAATATAGCAGCTTAGCAAATGAATATGTTAAAATAACCAGTGAATATCAGGAAAACGCTCGGGAAGATTATGCCCTAATAACTGCTAATGAGTATGAAAAAACTTCCATTGAAGAATTTCCCGATAATGTGGTGAATGAGTATCAGGAAACCTCCTCCCTTGAATACCCAGCAAACCAAAGTAGTGATTACCAGGAAAGTGTAAACTCTGAGTATCCAAACAATGAAAATGAGTTTCACTACCTAGGAGAGAACTCTCAACAGCAAACAGAAATAGATCAGGAAAGTCCTTTATATCAAACAGAAGATTTCTCGAATACTCTAAACCAAACAAATACGGAAACGAATGCAGCTCCCCTAAATATACAAACACTGGCCGAACAATTGAAATTAGACATCGAACAACCTACCATTACCGACATAAAATATCGTTTCTCTGCCGAAGAAATAACCGAAAATCCAAACAGCTCCCAAGAAACAATACCGCAAATTCGTTTAGACTTGGAGCCGATCATTGATAAAACGGATTATGTTACCGAAATCTATGAGCTGCTAGACGATGAAAGCAAACAAGAAACATTAAATGAAAGCAATGGAAATACTGTAGAATACGATATATATACAGAGGAAAAACCGGAAGAGACTAGTTCAGTATATAGTGATGTGGAATATGTAATCGAAGAGGAAATGTGTGATGATGAGGGTGAGTCATTGGAAAATGTGATAGAATTAAAAGGTACAAATCGAGCGAAAAGGAGAAGACTGAATAATACTAACCGGAGAAAGAATGCTGAAAGAGTGGGTAAGAAAAGAGAGTATAGTTGTGTTCCCTGTCAGCTGGAATTTAAAAATCTACAGGAGCATAAAAAGCATAGGTAAGTTACAAAGTAAGTAAGTAAGTAAGTAAGTAAAGTAAGTAAGTAAGTAAGTAAGTAAGTAAGTAAGTAAGTAAGTAAGTAAGTAAGTAAGTAAGTAAGTAAGTAAGTAAGTAAGTAAGTAAGTAAGTAAGTAAGTAAGTAAGTAAGTAAGTAAGTAAGTAAGTAAGTAAGTAAGTAAGTAAGTAAGTAAGTAAGTAAGTAAGTAAGTAAGTAAGTAAGTAAGTAAGTAAGTAAGTAAGTAAGTAAGTAAGTAAGTAAGTAAGTAAGTAAGTAAGTAAGTAAGTAAGTAAGTAAGTAAGTAAGTAAGTAAGTAAGTAAGTAAGTAAGTAAGTAAGTAAGTAAGTAAGTAAGTAAGTAAGTAAGTAAGTAAGTAAGTAAGTAAGTAAGTAAGTAAGTAAGTAAGTAAGTAAGTAAGTAAGTAAGTAAGTAAGTAAGTAAGTAAGTAAGTAAGTAAGTAAGTAAGTAAGTAAGTAAGTAAGTAAGTAGTAAGTAAGTAAGTAAGTAAGTAAGTAAGTAAGTAAGTAAGTAAGTAAGTAAGTAAGTAAGTAAGTAAGTAAGTAAGTAAGTAAGTAAGTAAGTAAGTAAGTAAGTAAGTAAGTAAGTAAGTAAGTAAGTAAGTAAGTAAGTAAGTAAGTAAGTAAGTAAGTAAGTAAGTAAGTAAGTAAGTAAGTAAGTAATAAGTAAGTTACAACAACAATCTCTTTAATGATTTACAAAAAAACCGCCTGAAGACCCAACGATAACAGAACTAAATAAAAGATGGTTTCAAATTTGCCACCGTCTTTTCCAGAACCGAAGTACATGACAATAAATATCCCTGCAGTATATGTGCCCGTGAACTAAAATCCCTGCCCAGTTTGCATCAACACATGAAAATACACAACGAACAGCCGGCCTATCAGTGTAACATTTGTCAGAAAACCTTTAATCAAAAGGCCCACTATCTCTACCACATGAATCGACACAATAATATACGCAATTTTAAATGTACGGAATGTGATAAAACGTTTATTGCTAAAACCGATTTAAAGGTACACATGAGAACTCACACTGGAGATAGGCCATATGTTTGTAATATCTGCGGCAAAGATTATTTAATGATGGAACATTTGAAAACACATCTTCTAACGCATACCGAACAATATTTTCAATGTGATATTTGTAATCATAAGTTTGCCACACATAAGACGCTGAGAATGCATGTGCGAACGATACACGAAGATGAGCCAAGATTTAAGTGTAGTTTCTGTTCGAAACCTTTTCGTAGAAAACATCATTTGGAGGTATGTGAAGTCCAATGAGTAATGAATTGGTTTTTATAATATCCCTCGTTTTTTGTTTCAGTATCACTTGAAATTGCATCAAAAAAATGTAAAATTTTTAGATAGCCATTATGAAATGGTAGATGTGGACGATCCCGATGCTGTAATTAATACCGACACGGACTATAATGCTGATGAACTTGTTGATCAAGAACTAGTAGATGATCCTGGCTTTATAGCTTTAAACGATGATATTGTATAGTATATTAGATAATTTTTTAACTTGTTCGAAAAAATCGAACGCCTATGGTGTTTTTAAAACAATAGTGTGTATGTGTTCAACTGGATGTTAAACAATAAAGGTAAGTTTTCACTTTTTTAGCCCTATTCTGAATAAAAATTTGGAGTATAGGGCTTAATCTACGCAGTAAAAAGCAATAAAAAGAAAAAATATCGTAACCATTAATGGAATCAATTAGTATGATACTGATGTTCCTGATGTATAATATTTGTTTAATTAAAAACGCTTTAACTTTAATTGATTTTGTTGGTTTTATTTGTTTTTTTTTTTATATATATAATAGGTTTTTCTTGTCGTTTATTTATTTGTATAATTTAATAATTATTAGAATCTAAATATATAATTAATTTTTTCTTCCTTTTTTGTTTATTAATTTTTTTCTTACTTTGAAGCACTTGTATAACAGAAAAGTTTCTTTTTTAATATAATTTTTCTTTATTAGTTTTCAGTTTAATTTCTTTAAAAAAACGCACATTATTAAGCCTTGTTACTAAAAAAATTTGAATTTTTTTCATTATAGACCAAAATATTAAAAGTTTTTTAATTTTTTTTATAAAAAAAATTTAACGGAATGAATATTTAAATTTAGTTAAACAAAATAAATTGTTTGTTTTAGTTTTTAACAACTTAAATTTGGTTAAATTTTAAGAAAGTTTTTTTAGCGGGTTTGTTAGGTTTTGCAGGCCGGATATATAGAGAGGTAGGTTAATACTAAATTAGGTTTTTGTTGTTTTTTAAGAGGAAAGAAAAGTGCAGGTTAAATTTGGTTTTTGTTAAATATATTATGCTTAAAGAAAATTCTAGGATTTGTTTTATGTTAAATATAAAATAGTTTTAAGAGTTTGTTTTTATTACATTTTTAATACAAAAACTTCTTTAGTTATTTTAAGAAGAACAAAAATAGTCTACGGAATTGAGCACAATGACAGTTTGTAATTTTTGTGTGTGTATGTATAGGGATTACTTGGAAAGTTTTGTTTGGGAGTTGGAAAACAAAGCTATAAATTAATAATATAATAATTTTATTAATAAGTATTTAGGTCCAAAGTTAGCCTTTAGACAAGACTGTAGTAGAGACTAAAGACTAGAGTGTGGTCTAGAATATAAACTAGAGTATAGCTTAGACTATAAACTTAACTCTAGGCCAGACTTTAAACTAGACTATAGAACAGACTCTAAACAAGACTCTAAAGTAGACTCTAGACTAGACTTAACTATACTCTAGATCAGACTCTAAACTAGACTCTAGATTAGGCTCTAAACTAGACTCTAGAGTAAACTATAGACTTTAGTCTAGATTATAAACTAATTATAAACTAACTCTAAACTAGACTCTAGATTCTAAACTAGACTCTAGATTCTAAACTAGACTCTAGATTCTAAACTAGACTCTGGACTTTAGACTACACTCTTGATTCTAGACTAGACTCTGGACGTCTCTGAACTAGGCTCTAGACTAGACTACAAACTAAATTCTAGACTCTAAATTAGACAGATCAAGTCTATAGTCTGTAGTTTAGTCTCGAAACTAGGCAGTCGTTTAGTCTCTAAACTAGACTGTAGTTTAGTCTCTAAACTAGACTGTAGTTTAGTCTCTAAACTAGACTGTAGTTTAGTCTCTAAACTAGACTGTAGTTTAGTCTCTGAACTAGACTGTAGTTTAGTCTCCAAACTAGACTACAGTCTCATCTCTAGACAAGACCGTTCTAGTCTAGTCTAGCTAAACTATTCTAGTAGTTTAGTCTACTCTATCCTAATCTGTAGTCTAGTCTCTAGACTAGTCTTTAGTCTAATCCTTAGATTGGTTTGTAGTCTATTCTTTGAACTAGGCTGTATTATATTCTCTATCCTAGTCTGTAATCTAGTCTCTATCCTAGTCTGTAGTCTATATCCTAGTGTGCAGACTAGTCTCTATCCTAGTCTGTACTCTAGTCTCTAGACTAGAATCTATTCTGTCGTCTGTAGACTAGTTCTAGTTCTGTAGACTAGTCTCTATTCTTGTCCGTAGTCTAGTTTCTATCATAGTCTGTAGTTAGACTAGTCTGTTGGCTATTCTTTAAACTAATATGTAGCACAAACTTTAAACTTGACTGTAGTCTAGCCTCTATCCTAGTCTGTAGTTTACTCTCTAAAGTCTACTCTCTAGAATAGCCCGTAGTCTAGTATTTTGATTTGTTTTAAAGAAATGCTTCATTTGTGATAAAAAATAGTTAAGTTTTAGTGTCTTTTTTTTTTTGTAAAAATCTAAAAGCTTAAGCGTTTTTTTCCTACATAAACAGGGGTTTGTTTATACACTGTAACTGGATTTGTAAACAAAAATTTTGACATTTTTACAAAGAAAACAAATTATGGAATTATATGGTAGTGTTGTCAATTAAGCGCTTTTTTTTTGAAGGGAATTTTTTAAGGTTTTGCTTTTCACACTTTCTCTGTTTTACAAGGTTGTTCTTTTTTGAGATTTTTTTTTGTAACGAAAGCTTGTTGTTGTTGTTTGTTTTATTAAATCTTCAGTTTTGTAATTATTTGATAATACTTGTGTTTAATTTTTCAAAAATTTAGCAAAAAATTTTTTTTTTTTATAAAAAAATTCTATATAAAAACATAAAATTATTAATATCATTTTAAAAATAAGTATTAAAAATACAAAGGGGGTAGAGGTGTGGGGGTAGTAGTAGGGATAATATTAGAAACACAAAAATCATTAAAATTTTTAAAACACAATTAAGCAAAAATAAATGTTTTTTTAGAAAAAAATATTGTTAAATAAATTTGTGTTATAATAAAATAACAAATTTATTTACATATTTTGTTTTGTTTTAACGGCAAATGTAAGGAAATTTTCTATTAACTCCTGTTTTCTTTTTTGTAAAAAATAAAATAATTTTTTTGTGTGTTTAAAAGTGTAAAAAAAAACTAATAAAAAATCGTTATTATTAATATTAATTTAACAAAACATAAATTAGCATTTCTAACAGGATTATTACATTGTTGTTTTAGTTGTAGTTCTTCATTTGCTGCTGCTGCTGGCTTTCTGTTTTGAGTTTGAGTTTGATTTTTAATTTTTTTTTTTTGTTTAATAAAGTTAAAGTGAGTAAATAAGTTTTCTTTTATTTGCTTTTTTGTTGTTGTTGTTTTAATCATAAATATTATATATGGTGTGTTGTATAGTTTGTTGCTGTTAGTTTTTTAAAATTTAAAATTGTTTTTTTTTTTTATTATTTTTAGTTTTAATTTAAAGTTTTAAGTGCATTTTTAAACGGCACTGCTGGGTTGTTTTTGCTCTAATCTGTTTAACAATTTTAGTTTATATTTTTTTTGTTTTCTCTCTCTTTCTATTATTTAAATTAAACAAATTAATACTTAAAAAGAAAAAGAGTTATCTTTAATACATGCATTTTCGTTTATTCCTTTCAGTTTCAGTGCTTAAACTGCACTAAAGAAGAAGAGTATTTACTTTCTTTATAAATGTGTTATTGAGGAGAAGGAGGAGGAGTGTGTTGAGTGTTTTAAATAGGGCGTTTTTTGTTAAATTAGTTATTCATTTTTTTTAACGTTTGCCTGGTGGTTTAACTGTGCATGAAAGCATTTCTTCTTTAGCCATTTTTGCCCGAAAATCAGCCATTAAATCCCGACACATGGTAGCCATCTCGGCCAGTTGTGTGAAATAGGCCTCACCTTCTTTACAGTAGGAGTCTTGATCATAATCGACATAGTTGGTTAAATTATATAGACGCATAGATTCGGGTAGAAATTGTGTTAGGAATTCATTGATGGCTCGATGTTGATCAACAACCATTTCTTCGGTTTGTTGTAGATCGGAAATCGCAGCATGTTGGACAAGTAATTCATCGGACATATCGTGTTCCTGGAAATGTTAAAGGTGGAATTAATATATAGAAGTCAAAACAAAGTATAGTCTAGTTTATAGATTATAGTCTCGCCTATAGTCTAATCTGGAATACTCTATAGTGTGGACTATAGTATAACCTATACTGTAGTCTATAGTCTGAACTATAGTTTAGTCTATAGTATGGACTATAGTCTAGTCTATCGTCTAGTCTATAGTCTGGACTACAGTCTAGTCTATTGTCTGGAATATAGTCTAGTCTATAGTCTGGACTAGTTTAGTCTGTAGTCTTGTCTACAGTTTAGTCTGTAGTCTAGTCCATAGTCTAATCTATAGTCCATTCTATTGCCTAGTCTATAGTCTAGTCTATAGTCTAGTCTATAGTCTAGTCTATAGTCTAGTCTATAGTCTTGTTTATAGTCTTGTCTATAGTCTAGTCTATTGTCTAGTCTATTGTCTAGTCTATTGTCTAGTCTATTGTCTAGTCTATAGTCTAGTCTATAGTCTAGTCTATAGTCTAGTCTATAGTCTAGTCTATAGTCTAGTCTATAGCCTAGTCTATAGTCGAGTCTACAGTCGAGTCTATAGTCTAGTCTATAGTCTAGTCTATAGTCTAGTCTATAGTCTAGTCTATAGTCTAGTCTATAGTCTAGTCTATAGTCTAGTCTATAGTCTAGTCTATAGTCTAGTCTATAGTCTAGTCTATAGTCTAGTCTATAGTCTAGTCTATAGTCTAGTCTATAGTCTAGTCTATAGTCTAGTCTATAGTCTAGTCTATAGTCTAGTCTATAGTCTAGTCTATAGTCTAGTCTATAGTCTAGTCTATAGTCTGGTCTAGTCTATAGTCTAGTCTATAGTCTGGTCTAGTCTATAGTCTGGTTTAGTCTATAGTCCAGTCTATAGTCTAGTCTATAGTCTAGTCTATAGTCTAGTCTATAGTCTAGTCTATAGTCTAGTCTATAGTCTAGTCTATAGTCCAGTCTATAGTCTAGTCTATAGTCTAGTCTAGTCTATAGTCTAGTCTATAGTCTAGTCCATAGTCTAGTCCATAGTCTAGTCTACAATCTAGTCTATAGTCTAGTCTTCAGTGTAGTCTATAGTCTAGTCTTCAGTGTAGTCTATAGTGTAGTCTATAGTGTAGTCTATAGTGTAGTCTATAGTGTAGTCTATAGTGTAGTCTATAGTATAGTCTATAGTCTAGTCTATAGTCTAGTCTATAGTCTAGTCTATAGTCTAGTCTATAGTCTAGTCTATAGTCTAGTCTATAGTCTAGTCTATAGTCTAGTCTATAGTCTAGTCTATAGTGTAGTCTATAGTGTAGTCTATAGTGTAGTCTATAGTGTAGTCTATAGTATAGTCTATAGTCTAGCCTATAGTCTAGTCTATAGTCTAGTCTATAGTCTAGTCTATAGTCTAGTCTATAGTCTAGCCTATAGTCTAGTCTATAGTCTAGTCTATAGTCTAGTCTATAGTCTAGTCTATAGTCTAGTCTAAGTCTAGTCTATAGTCTAGTCTATAGTCTAGTCTATAGTCTAGTCTATAGTCTAGTCTATAGTCTAGTCTATAGTCTAGTCTATAGTCTAGTCTATAGTCTAGTCTATAGTCTAGTCTATAGTCTAGTCTATAGTATAGTCTAGTCTATAGTCTAGTCTATAGTCTAGTCTATAGTCTAGTCTAGTCTAGTCTAGTCTAGTCTATAGTCTAGTCTATAGTCTAGTCTTTAGTCTGGACTATGGTCTAGTCTATAGTCTAGTCTATAGTTTAGTCTGTAGTCTAGTCTATAGTCTAGTCTATAGTTTAGTCTATAGTCTATAGTCTAGTCTATAGTCTAGTCTATAGTCTAGTCTATAGTCTAGTCTATAGTCTAGTCTTATGTCTAGTCTTTTCTATAATCTAGTTTATTGTCTAGTAAATAGTCAAGTCTAAAATTTTCAAACTTACGCTCAACGAACGCAACAATGCCAAATCACTCGCCGACATCTGACCATTGTTCTTATTATTATTGTTATTATTATGATTAGTATGATTATTATGCTTAATGGGCCTCTGCTGGACATGCTGTACATTATTAGTCTCTTCATCCTCTTCATACATTAACTGTTCGGTATCTTCTTCACGCAGCACATCATCCTCACGTAATACATCTTTGACCACCAGCTCTTTAACACGATCCGCATAACGTAGAGTATTGAGTGTGTGTTCACACGAACTTAAACCCGGTGAAATCATAGCAATCATACAGGTTTTACTCTTATCGCCAATAAAAGAATCACGTAAAACTTGCGTTAACTTCGAGACACGGAATGGCAAGTGAGCCGATTGTTTACCCAAAGCACGAATACATTCTTTCAGAGCCAATAGAGATTTATTGATTTCGGCACCCTCCATGCGTGTTTGACGATTAGCCGATGAGGTATCGGCACCACGTTCATTACCAGCCAAATCGATAAAAGAGAATTTACCATGAATTTTTGTGGAGCCGGGAGGACGTAAAACAATTTGAAATACTGCATGAGAACGTGATGAGTTTGAATTGGCTGAGGTCTGGCCGGAGGTGCGAGCATTGTTGCCGTGCTGTATAAGTTTAAGCACTTCTTCAACACTGTCGACTACCTTCTCGGTGAGACCAACAACTTGTACCTGCTGTTTACCATCCTCCAGGACACGAAGTTTTTGTTTATCTGAGAGTAAATCAAAAACCTAAAACAAGATAAGGATTATTAGAGATTAAAAATTATTGTTAAACATGTTATGTTATGTTGGAAACATACTTTGCCACTGTAAATTTCAAAGAAACTGGCTGATACCACTAGATTCAAGTGACGATAACGTGGTCCATTCAAATAGGTAAACACATCCTTAGCTGCCATGGCATATATACCATTTTTACAATCCTGTATTTTGCCATTAAATTCGCCGCCCATTGTGTGAGTTTTACCCGAACCGGTCTGGCCATAGGCAAAACAAGTGGCCATGCCACCTTCAAATATAGTTTGGACCAAAGGTTTTGCAGTGTATCTGAAAATTCAGCCATTAAATACAATTTAGTTAACAAATAACAAGTTAATTAATAAACATTTAAATTAAATTACTTTTATATTTAAAAGTTAATTTGATATTTTATTATTTGCTTTTTTTTTTTTTTTGTTACAATTGAATATGTGTATCATGGAAATAGCTAGTTATTTGGGGAAATTGTGTGCTAATTTACACACCCATGAATGAAAACAAGTGCTTTTGTATTAATACTGAGGGGTTTTTATTGACTTGAATCTCTGATTTTATGGGGTAATTGTTAATTGAAATTGTTTATGCCAAACCCATTAGAGAAAAGAAAAAAAAACTATTTTTACAATTCAATGTAAAATTTTTAGTTAAAAACGATTTGTTTAAATAACAAAAAAGGATTTTTGAACTATACAACAATCTTTAGTTTAGTATAAAGTTCTGTTCCGAAAGGCCTCTATAGGTTGGTAGGACCAATAATGTTTTTTTTTAATGATTTCCCATGGTTCGGAGGACCAACATTCATTGAAAATCAATTTCAGTTCAAATATGGCTGATATCTAACAATAGCAATAAAAAATATCTTTAAAACTATATCGTGTTGTTTTGCCAAATAATTTCTTTTGGTTCGTAGGACCATCATTTATTCCAAATGTTTAAAAAGTTTTTAAAAGTCTAAAACTTTAGATATTTGCTTCAAATCTAGTAATTACCATTGATATTATCTTAAAAACTCTATCGCTAGTTAAAGTATGATATTTCGAAAGAATTTATGAATTATAGTCTGGACTATAGAGTAGACTATAGTCTGGACTATAGAGTAGACTATAGTCTGGACTATAAAATAGACTATTGTCTGGACTATAGAGTAGACTATTGTCTGGACTATAGAGTAGACTACAGTCTGGACTATAGAGTAGACTATAGTCTGGACTATAGAGTAGACTATAGTCTGGACTATAGAGTAGACTATAGTCTGGACTATAGAGTAGACTATAGTCTGGACTATAGAGTAGACTATAGTCTGGACTATAGAGTAGACTATAGTCTGGACTATAGAGTAGACTATAGTCTGGACTATAGAGTAGACTATAGTCTGGACTATAAATAGACTATTGTCTGGACTATAGAGTAGACTACAGTCTGGACTATAGAGTAGACTATAGTCTGGACTATAGTAGACTATAGTCTGGACTATAAAATAGACTATTGTCTGGACTATAGAGTAGACTATAGTCTGGACTATAGAGTAGACTATAGTCTGAACTATAGAGTAGACTATAGTCTGGACTATAGAGTAGACTATAGTCTGGACTATAGAATAGACTATAGTCTGGACTATAGAGTAGACTATAGTGTGGACTATAGAGTAGACTATAGTGTGGACTATAGAGTAGACTTTAGTCTGGACTATAGGGTAGACTAAAGTCTGGACTATAGAGTAGACTATAGTCTGGACTATACAGTGGATTGTAGAGTGGACTATAGTCTGGACTATAGATTAGTCTATAGTATGGACTATAGATTAGTCTATAGTCTGGACTATAGATTACATTAGACTATAGAGTAGACTATAGTCTTGACTATAGAGTAGACTATAGGCTGGACTATAGAGTAGACTATAGTCTGGACTATAACCTCGACTATAGAGAGGACTATAGATTAAAATAAAGTCTGGACTGTAGAGTAGACTATATTCTGGATTATAGAGTAAACTATAGTCTGGACTAAAGAATAGTCTATAGTCTGTATAAATAGTAGTCTATAGTCAGGTCTATAGATTAGTCTATAGTCTGGACGATAGTTTGGTCTATAGTCTGTACTATAGATAAATCTACAGTCTCGTCTATAATTGTGTCTATAATCTGAACTCTAGTCATCATCTTCATAACATTTTAAGGTCATTTATTTAAATAAAAAACAAATTCCCATTTGAAATTATTCCAAAGAAACCAAAGAAATCTTAGAAAATGTTTGCTCATAAAAATACTAATGAACCGCAATCATTTAAATATAATTTCTAAACCACAATTAATAAACTACTTTATTCTTGAAAAAAAAAGTAAAAGAAAAGAATAACAAAATTGTAACCTTTTTAACACATGACTAGACTTTCTAATTAAACTAAAGACACCTAATACTCGGAAGTAACAAGAGAAAAAAAAAAACACATTCATATAAAAACTTTTCTCTGCAGCTTTAGTCATCATTATAACGATCAATATTTTTTAAACAAAATTTATAAGGAAATAATGAATAGCATACAAAGATTAAACCAGTTCATAGCTACAACAGAAAAAAAATGTAGCATTAACAAAACAAAAGAAAGAAATATAAACAAAAAAAAAAAAAAAAAAGAAAATATATAATAAGAAGAAAGGGGCAGGCATCCTCTTATATATAGTAGAGGTTTATTGAGCTTATTTTTGCCAAAGAAAACAAAAACCAAGATTTATATGAGAAATTAAATAAATTTGCAATTTTGTGTATTTTTTAGACACAACAAAGCCAGACTTTAAAATAAGATTTTCCTTTAACACAAACAACGTTGAGAGTCTTCGTCATCTACAAATTGAAAACGTATAAAGCTAAAGTTTGTATTTTTTTTTATTTTTTTGGTTTTGGTTAATTAAAGAAAAAGTAACAAGAAAAAATTATACAAAACTTATGCTTGAACAAAAAAAGAGTAGAGTGTAAGAGGAGTAAATTGAAAGAATGGTATTTATAGCAGCAGTTTAAGCTTCAGTTGTATGACTAATCATTTCGTAGAGACGTGTATGGCGACGTCGGCAATGTATGGTATTTTATCTTATACTTATTGCTGTCTTTTTTTTTATTTTTTTGCATTTTATTTGTATTGATATTTGTTGATTTCTATATGTATGTAGACCATGTCTCTCATTCATAAAGCTTCAGACTTTAGATATTTTCAAATTCAACGTTTTTATATATATATATATTTTGTAAATATAAGATCAATCAGCTGTTGTAGAGGTCTTTGCTTGACAAAGTCTTTTTTTCTTCTGTCTTGTTTCAATTTTATTTATAAATATTGACTTTTAAGGAATGTTATTCAATTTTTGATGTAGTAATAGCTAACAAGGTTATTGCATGGCTTACAGAGAAGTGTTTATAAGGAAAACGTAGAGTGTTAAGGAAATAAATTTTAAAAGATTTGAAATAAATTTTAGTAAAATCTTTCATTTTTGGGTTTAATAGTTAAGGTTCAAAGGACGATGGAAGCTTAAAAATTAAAGTCTCATTCGATTTCATTTAACATTATATGCTTTTCAAATGATCAAATTCTAGAGAAGTTCAAATGGTTCGAAAGACCATGTTTAGGTAAAACCAAAAAACTAAAAAATTGGACTATTGTCTTGACTATAGGATGGAATATTCTGGACTATAGGTTGGACTATAGTCTGGACTGTAGATTGTACTATAGTCAAGTCTTTAGTCTAAACTTCAGTCTAGTCCTTAGTCTAGTCTATAGTCTAGACTATAGTCTAGTCTATAGTCTAGACTATAGTCTAGTCTATAGTTTAGTCTAATCTTAAGTCTATAGTACAGACATTAGTTTAGTCTATAGACTAATCTATAGTTTAGTCTAGTCTATAGTCTACTCTATAGTCTACTCTATAGTCTAACCTATAGTCTAGTCTATAGTTTAGTCTAGTCTATAATTTTGTCTATAGTCTAGTCTGTAGTCAAGCCTATAGTCTAGTTTATAGTCTAGTTTATAGTATAGTCTATAGTCTAGTCTATAGTCTAGTCTATAGTCTAGTCTATAGTCTAGTCTTTAGTCGAATCTATAGTCTAGTCTTTAGTCTAGTCTATAGTTAGTATACAGTTAGTCTGTAATCTAACCTATAGTCTAGTCTATAGTCTTGTCTATAGTCTTGTCTATAGTCTAGTCTATAGTCTAGTCTATAATCTGTCTTGTCTAGTCTAAGTCTAGTCTATAGTCAGTCTAGTCTAGTCTATAGTCTAGTCTATAGTCCTAGTCTATAGTCTAGTCTATAGTCTAGTCTATCAGTCTAGTCCTAGTAGTCTAGTCTATAGTCTAGTCTAGTCTAGTCTATAGTCTAGTCTATAGTCTAGTCTAGTCTATAGTCTAGTCTATAGTCTAGTCTATAGTCTAGTCTATAGTCTAGTCTAGTCTATAGTCTAGTCTATAGTCTAGTCTATAGTCTAGTCTATAGTCTAGTCTATAGTCTAGTATATAGTCTAGTCTATAGTCTAGGTTATAGTCTAGTCTATAGTCTAGTCTATAGTCTAGTCTATAGTCTAGTCTATAGTCTAGTCTATAGTCTAGTCTATAGTCTAGTCTATAGTCTAGTCTATAGTCTAGTCTATAGTCTAGTCTATAGTCTAGTATAGTCTAGTATATAGTCTAGTCTTTAGTCTAGTCTATAGTCTAGTCTATAGACTAGTCTATAGTCTAGTCTATAGTCTAGTCTATAGTCTAGTCTATAGTCTAGTCTATATTCTAGTCTATAGTCTAGTCTATAGTCTAGTCTATGGTCTATAGTCTAGTCTATAGTCTAGTCTATAGTCTAGTCTATAGTCTAGTCTATAGTCTAGTCTATAGTCTAGTCTATAGTCTAGTCTATAGTCTAGTCTATAGTCTAGTCTATAGTCTAGTCTATAGTCTAGTCTATAGTCTAGTCTATAGTCTAGTCTATAGTCTAGTCTATAGTCTAGTCTATAGTCTAGTCTATAGTCTAGTCTATAGTCTAGTCTATAGTCTAGTCTATAGTCTAGTCTATAGTCTAGTCTATAGTCTAGTCTATAGTCTAGTCTATAGTCTAGTCTATAGTCTAGTCTATAGTCTAGTCTATAGTCTAGTCTATAGTCCAGTCTATAGTTTAGTCTATAGTAGTCAAAGTAATGTCTAGCCTATAGTAAATAACATCTGGTCTGGTCTAGTCTATAGTCTAGTCTATATTCTAGTCTATAGTCCAGTCTATAGTCTAGTCTATAGTCTAGTCTAGTCTATAGTCTAGTCTATAGTCTAGTCTAGTCTATAGTCTAGTCTATAGTCTAGTCTATAGTCGAGTCTATAGTCTAGTCTATAGTCTAGTCTATAGTCTAGTCTATAGTCTAGTCTATAGTCTAGTCTATAGTCTAGTCTATAGTCTAGTCTATAGTCTAGTCTATAGTCTAGTCTATAGTCTAGTCTATAGTCTAGTCTATAGTCTAGTCTATAGTCTAGTCTATAGTCTAGTCTATAGTCTAGTCTATAGTCTAATCTATAGTCTATAGCCTAGTCTATAGTCTAGCCTATAGTCTAGTCTATAGTCTAGTCTATAGTCTAGTCTATAGTCTAGTCTATAGTCTAGTCTATAGTCTAGTCTATAGTCTAGTCTATAGTCTAGTCTATAGTCTAGTCTATAGTCTAGTCTATAGTCTAGTCTATAGTCTAGTCTATAGTCTAGTCTATAGTCTAGGCTATAGTCTAGTCTATAGTCTAGTCTGTAGTCTAGTCTATAGTCTAGTCTATAGTCTAATCTATAGTCTAGTCTATAGTCTAGTCTATAGTCTAGTCTATAGTCTAGTCTATAGTCTAATCTATAGTCTAGTCTATAGTCTAATCTATAGTCTAATCTATAGCCTAGTCTATAGTCTAGTCTATAGTCTAGTCTATAGTCTAGTCTATAGTCTAGTCTATAGTCTAGGCTATAGTCTAGGCTATAGTCTAGTCTATAGTCTAATCTGTAGTCTAGTCTATAGTCTAGTCTATAGTCTAATCTATAGTCTAGTCTATAGTCTAGTCTATAGTCTAGTCTATAGTCTAGTCTATAGTCTAGTCTATAGTCTAGTCTATAGTCTAGTCTATAGTCTAGTCTATAGTCTAGTCTATAGTCTAGTCTATAGTCTAGTCTAGTCTATAGTCTAGTCTATAGTCTAGTATATAGTCTAGTCTATAGTCTAGTCTATAGTCTAGTCTATAGTCTAGTCTATAGTCTATTCTATAGTCTAGTCTATAGTCTAGTCTATAGTTGTCAAAATAATGTCTATCCCATAGTGAATAACATCTGGTCTCAAGACCTGACTAGAATTTATTTTACAGTGTGGACTTCTTGTAGCCTATAATACGGACGAAAGTATAATCTATAGTCTATTCTACCAACGAGTCTAAAAGTTTAAACTAAAATAAAAATAGAAAAATTGTACACTACTCACTTGTAAACCATAGCATTGTCACAGCGATCATCGAAGGCATAGTCAAAACGAAATTTATGATTTTCCAGAAATTTTGTTAAATCCACTTTATTACGCGGCTCATGAACAATAAGCGTATCCTTGCGTGGCACCGAAATCACATCAATTTCTTTACGATTTAACTCTTTGCGTGATAATGGTCGCTTACGTACACAAACGGTAATTTGATGATCTTCGACGGCCTGGCCATCAATTAATGGATTAAATTCCAGGGTAGATTGATATTCGCGTATCATTTGGGCGGTTTCCCAATTGGGATTACCGGGATCTTGATTCATTAAGGCATTTTTCTCTTCTTTAATCTCAGCTTGGCGGGCACGACGTTTTTCACGATTCTCCTTAAGACGTTCAACCTCTTTGACCACATAGGAGCGACGAGCACCAACATTGCCAGTGG